TATCATGTGGTGTAAATCAAAGAAATCAGAATTTATTTCTAATCCTGCAGAAGGGTTAGAAAGATGAAAACAAACAAACTCCAAAAGTGTATAGACCTAGAAGAAGGATATGTAAAGAAACAGCAGCTTTCCATTTTGATATTTCTGCTTAGTAAAGGTTTTGATGATTTTGTGGCAATACTTTTATTTACCCTCATAAATTTGATAGCTTTCTCTATTACCTCATTTGAGATTTCTTTATATATAAATTTCCTTACTAAGAAGCTAACTTTAGTCATTTCTCTCACCTCAAAATGAAGTGTACTTAACTTATTGGTCCTTAACACATGTTTTTCTTAAAACACTGTTCTGAAAAGACAAGTATAAACTTGGGAGCATTCTGGTTTGGGATATATACAGTAATGGGAGTGGTGGTGGTAGAGGGTTGTGCAGTCAGTTATGGCTAGCAGAAAGCCTCATCTTTCTCCCGAGGAGCAGCTGGTAAATTTGAACTGCTGGCCTTATGGTTAACAGCCCACCTTGTAATCCACTACGCTTCCAGCACTCCTTTGGACATACATATGTAACGAATATTCCAAGAGATAAGACTGCAAATGTTCCCAGCAGCTCTCACTAACAGACCACCTTCCTCAGAGGCCCATACTTTGTTACAGTCACATACTTTACAACTACAGATGGGAACATATCTCTTGAAGACACTCATGCATTTTGATATGGGAGGGGAACAGAATTCCCACTGACTGAGCACCTAAGCCAGGATTAGGTCTAGGCCACATGCTCTCCTTACGTGAAGTTGCTGAGAGATGGGGCTAACAGCTAAAAGGGGGCTTGATCTCGTTCTCTGATGGGCACAGTTCGGACAATCTTCAGCAAGAGAAGAGAGAGAGTAACAATTGGAATGATGGAGTTGAGACATCCCTTATGTGGAATATGATATTTGGGAAGCTTCGTGTTCCAAAAGGCACCAAATTAATGGTGACAGGGTTTCTTGAACCCCTACTTACAAATCTAAAGATTGCTGCCCTTCTAGTGGATTCCCTGGGGACCAACATGCTCTGCATTCTGAAGCCCCACTTCTGGAACTTGTTAATGAGAAAATCACCTCTACTTGGTAGTCAAAAGTTGATTTCACCACAGGGCTATTGCTCCGATGTAACATTTCCCACCAGGATTAGCTTTAATGAATCAAATCTGTTTTCAAACGGCAACAGATGTGCCATCAGCAAAAGGACTTCATTTGATCCAACCAAGTTCAACAATGAGTATGTGTGTGGCCTTGTTCCTAGGGGGAGGGTGGCAAGCCCTCCTGCAAACATAAGGTAACAGTGCGTGAGAATGCACTGCGGAAGGGGTCATTAGCTCCTTCAAATACAAAGAAGACACATTACCTTTTTCAGGTTTTCTCTAAAGATTACTCTAGAAAAGGAATCTTCAACATATCTTCAATAATGACAGCAAGGTCATTACTTGGCAACACACATACTAGTTTTCTCCTCTGATTTTCAGTGTGAAAGAAGAGCTAAGGTGCCCCAAAAGTCCTGGAGGATTTGTGGAGAAAACATTTGGAGTATCTTTTTTATTAGGGAATTTGTCCATAATCACAGGGAGACTGTAGGAGCAGGAAATAAATTTGTGGATCTTTAAGAGGAAAATTTGAATTATTCAGTGCAAAGCAATATATTTACTGGGGTTCGAGGCTGCAAGCTGAATTTGAGCAGAACAAATTCTAAGACAAGAGCATTGCAAAAGGCAGTAAGACTGCTTGTTGCTATTAGTTACCACTGAGTGGATCCCAATGGGTGACATCATGTATACAGAATAGAACTGTTCCATAGGGTTTTCAAGGCTGTGATCGCGTGGAAACGGATTGCCAGGCCTGTCTTCTGAGGCACTTCTGGGTGTGTTTGAACTGCTGGCCTTTTGGCTGGTAGTCAAGTGCTTAACCATTTGCACCACCCAGGAATTTCTTGATTTAGTTGAGAGGAGAACATTATTACTGACATCTTTACTAAGGTAGCTGACCATTGGAGTTCTGGTGTGGAGCAGTTCAAACCAACAAATCACTCCACAAAAGAATGATGAGGTTTTCTGCTCCCATAAAGATTTACAGCCTCGGAAATCCTATACAGGGTCACTATGAGTTGGACTCAACTCAACGGCACTTAACAACATTTTTTCTCGTTGCTTCCTTCTTAGAAACTAACTGCAAATTAGCCCAAATTCCTTCCGGAACTAAACTGGAAACACAAATAAATAGATCCCGGAGGAAGATCTGGCTGTGCTGAGCTTCATTCAGGTCAAATAGAAATTTACAAGATAGTATTAGATTCAACTTCTCATTAGCTTTATTTAAGAGCTTTATACATCTTACATCTTCTTCTTCTTGTTAAATGCCGTTGAGTCGATTCCGACCCATAGCGACCCTGTATCGGGTTTCCAGCAGGTGAGCTTGAACCACCGACCTTGCAGTTCAAATGGCTTTGCAGTCTGGCGCATTAACCCACAGCACCACCCCAGGACTCCAAGCTTAGGTAAACGAATTATATTCTAGTGAGCAAAATACCTATGAAAAAAACATCAGCCTTGTTTACAAGGCTGGGGAAAGAGTGATTAGAAAATGTAAACTTATTCAGGTTATTCAAATGATTCTGACCTGGGTTCCCAATCATCCTAGAGAATTTTAAACACCTCTGCCCCAGAAAGTCGAGTTGTATACATCCAAGCAGTCCCTACACTGTGAAGTGGTCCGTGAGGAGTGTAACCAGAGCAGCAGCTGCAAATTTGAGAATTTTCAGAGTGCCCATCTCCTTCCCATGAGTCCAATTCAGGTGACGAGGAGCGACAGTGGTTTCTGGAATCATCACGTGTCAGGACACTTACGGTCTCCTTCACTCATACAGCACACTGCCAAAAGCATCTTTATTCCAACTCTGAGCACAAGCAAAGACTGGCAGCTTTCTCTCTTTCCAGACTCTTAGGAGACGATGTTCAAGGTTGAGAAGTCTCAGTTACCCCCTCATCCTGCCTTCATCCACGAAAGCCAGAGAGCAACTGCTCAGGGGAGTGTGTGTGTGACAGAGGGAACAACACCCAGCAAAGAGAAAGGACAAAATCATCAACATCACTGTAACACCCCAGTCTTAAAACATTTGAGGATGCTTTTTCCCAGTTTAAGTCTTTGTCTTCAGAAGTCCTTATGTGGGCAGAGTACACGCTTCATTAATTTCAGCTAAATCAGTGCTTATTTGTTTAAAGATAGACAAAAGACAAAATCTGCACTCCTCCCTACAAGAGCCTTTCTGCCCATGGGGAGGAATCGTTTTCCCCCCTGGATCTGTAGCCCAGCAGCAGCCCCTGGAGCTGCTCAGGAGGCCGTGACCTACGCCCCTCAAAGAACACACCTTCCACTTGGGGAACTGTCTCGTGCTGGAGCCTCCAGTCTACAGCTAGAAGGAAGCAGAGGCTAATGCAGAAGGCACCCATGGCTTTTCTCCCACACACACTCCTGGGGTCTAGGCCACAGCTCTGGAGTCACATTTTACAAGATACTGCCGATTGAAGGGCGTGTGATGAAATACTCAAGTCCTATCTGTAACCTCTGACACTGTCCTAAACCTTTGGAAATGGAAAAGCATTTGTATTTCATTGGCTTTGCTCTGGTTCTGAGAGTCAATCAAGATGCATCAGTGTGTCCTCTCAGAACCATGGCCCCGATGCAGCGCCAAGCCTGGCTGGCTGGTGCTGGTGCGGAGTCAATGAAAAAGGCTGCCAAGTGAAGGCGCACCCTTTCTGGCTTCCCCTTTCATTATTTTATTTAAAGCACAGCTTCAGGAACAAAAGGGCACATCAATTTGTTCACTCTGAAGCCTGGGGATTCTGTACACTCCAGCTGAATCGAGTGGTTCTCCAACCCTGTCTGTGTAAGAACAACCTAGGAAGTTTGTTAAAATGCAGATTCCTGCATCCCTCCTGAAATCCTAGCTCTTTAGGTCAGCATAAGGCCTAGGAATCTGTTTTTGAAATAAGCACTCCATACACTTTTGATGCAGGAGGGATCCATAAACAACGATGAGAAAAGCCCATGTGCATTTAAAAAGAAGAGAAAAGTCACAGACTTTCCTGCAGTTCCCGTCCACTTGAAGTCATCAGAGACGTGCACGTGAGTCCCGGTCCTGTACGGACGTATGGACAGGCTGCGGGGATGAGCAAATGACTCACCCTGGAAACCTGACTTCTGAAATAGGGTCATGGTCCCTTTAATGTCACAATTTTGCGGTGGTGTCCAAATGAGGTCATGGAAGGAGATGCGTGCTGGTAAAAGTGGGCACTAGGTATGTGTCACCTCTGGTGGTTTGTCCCACCAGCTGCTGTCAAAGCATGCCAGTCCTCTGTGGAGAGTCAAAGTCTTGTGCCTGGAAACAACAACGGCCCTCCTTGTTACTGTGTACTTCATCTCCACAATCACATGAGCACACCCATGCCCTGCACATGTCCACTGTCAGAACCCCGGAGATGAGGACCCACGGAAGAACCAAGGACAACAAGACTTTCTTCTCGATAGCGTCAGCAAAAGGGCTTAAGCTCCCTCCAAGTTTTCAGTCTATGTTGGTTGAAACACTGGCTATGAATAATACTCACTGATACAGAATTTGCTCGTTTGCAGCTTAGGTCTGGGTGACCCATTAAAAAGAAAACAAAACAAAACACAATGTCAGTAAATTCATTTGTCAAATCTGCTCTTAAAACTTGATGTTCAAGTCTATAACAGCAGAACAGAACTTAACTGTATGATTTGGTTTCCAGTCGGCTCTTTGAACTGAAATATATAGCACCTTGATTTTTAAATACACAAAACATAAATGCATTCTAAAAAATCATATATCAAAAAAAAAAAAAAAAGAAGCATTGGGTTTCTGGGTTTTACCTCCTCCTCTCCATCCCCCAAAGTAGGGGGCTGGAGCGGGCAGCCGTTGTTGCTGAAAATGATGTCGGGCAATAAAACACTTTAGCAAATGGAATTCCCTGAAGTTTGGAGGCGGTGCTGTCTGTCCAACGTCATACAACCTCGTCTGACTCCAGCCCGTGGACCTCGTACAAGGTGTCCAGTATTGCCAGCTGCCTTTCCATGGCCGGGAGGTACAGGCTGAGGTCTCTCTGCATCCCAATACTGAAGGCTTCTTTCTGGTGGTCACCTTCTTTTATGGTTAATGCAGCCACAAAGTCCTCATAGCATGGAGCTGCCCTCAGAGCTAACTGCAAAAGAACGGCCCATGAGAATCTGCACCATTTTTGTCTCTCCTGCATACTCATTCTTAAGTGTGTACACACACAAACACACACACACAAAGAAGGGGGATGTGTATGAAAAAGGGCAAAGAAACAGGAATATACTTCTCTAATCGTATTCTCTAAATGATGTACCTAGCACCAAATCAAGTAACTTTAAAGCTGGACGAGGCAAGAATGTGCTTGAGCCATCTTAAGAATAATGCCCTCAAGTCAGGGAATGCTGAGAGTGGACTTGAGAAAGTTCCTATCTTATTGACAGTGTAATCCTGAATCCTTAGGGTCAGCCAGATGTGGTTTCTATCACAGTTCATATGACAGCACCCTAGGGTACCTTGCTCTTCTGTGTCTCAGCTCTGCTTCTCCCAACATCTACTTTCTTTTCATAGACAGCATTTCCTTTACACCTTACAATATTTCCTCAGAGAAGGGAGCTAACATGCGTTTTATCCCAGTTAATCTTACACGAATCCTGGATAGTAGGTGTTGTTACAAGTCCACTTCCCAGAGGAAGGTCAGAGAGCTACTGAGTGCCAGAGCCAGGTCCTAGCTTCAGGGGCATTTCTGTGCTGCCCCTAATGGCAGAGTTCCACGACACGCCGTATACTTCTGCTCCCTCTGTTGGCCAACTATTCCCTTTACCACGGTCCTGGTGTGCGCTGTGGGATACTGCGCTTGACTGATGGTTCAAATTTACCAGCTGCTCCTCAGAAACCCTATACAGGGTCACTAGAGTCGGAACCAACCGGATGGTACTTAACAACAACAACATCGGCACTATAGCGACCCTACTGGGCAGAGGTGAACTGCGCCCATAGGATTTCCAAGGCTGGTATGGCACTGTGGGATAAAGCAGTTGACTGCAAGGTTGGTTTGAGTCACAAGGTCGGTGGTTCAAACTTACCAGCTGCTCTTTGGAAACCCTATATAGGGTCACTATGTGTCCGAACTGACTCCATTGAACTTAACAACAATGAAGTCTTTACTAGAACTTGCTATATTCTGCTTCCTGACATCTACTGGGTCAGCTCTGCTGCGATCTCTGTGTGATTTTTGGATAATCTTAAATGACCATTTGCCAGTTGCTTGCCTGAGCTTTCTTATACTTTGGAAGTCTTTGAGAATCAACCTACGCCGTTTTGTAACGCGAGTGATTGGTGTTACCAGACAGTGGTGAAAACACAGGCTTGAGTCAAGCAGACCTGAATTCAGATTCCAGAACTTTCCTGGGTTTTTTTTTGAGGAATCTGAGCAAGGTGCTTAAACACCCACAACTTAGCTTTTTTTCATAAGTAGATGAGACTATCACCTTCTTTTTTTTAAGGATTAATGTGAAAAATATCAAGTGTCTGGCCCAATGCCTGACATCAAACAATGTAATCAAACAATGTTAGTGTCTAAGGGAAACAGGGTCAGAAAATAAATGGAAGGCAATTGTCTAAAAATATAACATGAAAGAAATCTCCCAGGATAAGAAGGATAGAAAGAAACCTCCTTCAGACGTAAAGACGTAACTAGGACTTCACAATAATGAATAATAAAGACCAAAGCAGTACATAAAAAACTTTAGAAGGTGGAGTTAAAGAAAAGATCATCAAAGGATCCAGAATGGGGTAGAGAATGGTTTACATTCAATGGAGCAGGTACTGGAATGACATGGAATTTTATAATCATATTAATGGGAGCTGGAAGACAATGGAGTAATGCCTTTACAATTCTGAAGAAAAATTATTATTAACCTAGAATTCTACACCCACCCAAACTATTACTCTAGAAAAAAGACATCTTTAAACATGTCAGCTAAATCCAAACCCAATGCCACCACTGTGGAGTTGATCCTTACTCAACTGTCCCTGTAGGCCAGAAGGCCAAGGCACCATCAGTTCCCAGGGCTATAATATATCAACTTCACAGATGCAGATTGCCACACCTTTTCCCGGGGAGTTCAAATCACCAATTCTTAGTTAGCATCCCAGTGCTTAACCCACTATGCCACCAGGCTCCTTTCAAATGTGCAGGACTAAAAATGCAGGTCCCTTGAACCTTTTCTTAGGAAGTTAGTGGGGGGGCTGTTGCTGTTAAGTACTCTCAAGTTGGTTTGGACCCATAGCAACCCTGTATCGGGTTCCCAAGGAGCGGCTGGTGAGCTTGAACCACTGACTCTGCAGCTCAAATCGACTTTGCAGTCCAGTGCATTAACCCACACCCAGGATTCCTGGAGATAACAACAACAAAATGAGGTGTTACGTTGAATGAAAGTAAGGAAAAAAAAAAAAAAAGAATTTTGGCTCATCATAATAATATTAACACCAACAACTAATTAAGTTCAAACTTATGTTATACCTATACTGGAAAGGTAGGGCAGGGGTCAAACCAAAACCAATCCCACTGTCATTAAGTCAATTCAGACTCATACTGACTCCTATATAGGGTTTTCAATACTGTAAATCTTTAAGGGACCAGACAGCCTCATCTTTCTTCCTTGGAGCAACTGGTGGGTTTGAGCCACAGACCCTATAGTTAACATCAAATGCCTATCCTTCAGCGTCACCAGGGATCCTTGGGTGGGGGCAGGAGGTCTGGAAGAGCTCAATTCTATTTCATTTTAACAGAAAGTCGTTATCAGTAATGAGACTTAACAAAGCCGCAAAGAGCAGTGAACGGTTTGAGAAATATGGAGGCAAATACTGGGGGAAACAGCTAGACGGCTGCAAGTGTGTGTGTTGGGGGGGATGTAGTGGGGGGGCTCTGGAAGGGATGTAGTGGAGGATGGCTATTTTCTGGTTATGAAATTTTTGGCATGTTTTTTTATCTGAAAAACAAAACAAAAGCCGTATGTACATATGCATAAGCACAAGAAGATATTTAGAAGTTTCTCCAGAGTGGATCCAAGACCATGTATTTCTCAAAGGTGCCTAAGGGAAGATGAGGCAGCCAAGCCCATTCGGGAATCAATGACAGAGTACATCGCTGGCTGAACTGAAGCGGAACATGAAGGCTGGCCAATGACCAGACTGGAGGCAGAGCCTGTACCGGGCATCAGTGCTGAACACTATAATTGCTTCAAGATAAAAGTTCACAATTTGGTTGGCAAATAAGTCAAATTCCTTGAATATAAAAAAAAAGTTTCCATGAGCAACTCAGCTTCATTGAACTGAATTTGGCTCTGCTAATAGGCACATGTACACAAAGAACCTGCCAAAGGGGGATTCTTGGGGGCATTAGAAAGAGAGACTGAAAGGGCCATCTAACTACGACATAACTCCCTTATTGATAAGACTGTTGCCAAATTCCCAACATAATCTATTTTCTTAAAAAAGCAGCCAACTTAAAAAAAGATTGGCAATTGTACCAAGAGCCTTCAAAATGTGGCTGCTCCACAACCTTAAGTACATGACCTCATCTCTTTTTGTGTCTCAGACTTCTTTGTCTACAAACAGGGACGATAAGAGAATCTAAGAGTTATGAAATTAATAACTTTGGCATGTCATGTGTTGATCAAAAGGTCTAGTACACGGTAAATACTAAAAAAAAAATGTAAGTTGTGGTTGTAGCTTTTTGTATCAGACATTCTTTAAGAATCTACCTTGAGGAAATAAGGGTTTTAGTCAAATATGCACATAACCATATACTGTCTTATTTGTCATAATAGATTAAATTTCTAACAGATTAGATTAGGCAAGAAGTCCCTAGGTGGTGCAATGGTTAAAATGTTTGACAACTAGATGAAAGGTTGGTGGTTCAAATCCACCCTCACCCAGCAATCATCAATCATTATGAAAATTTGGGATAACTTTTATTGGAAGGAAAGTGTAGGTCCGTTCTGTGTCCCTGGGAGATGTAAATGGTTAAGCTGAAAGGTTGGTGGTTTGAACCCACCTAGAGGTGTCTTAGGAATCCTGGTATAATGCTATAGGATAAGCACTGGACTGCTAATCCTAAGGTCAATGGTTGAAAGCAAATACTCATTCTTTGGAAACCCTATTCAGTATTGTAATGAGTCAGAACCAACTTGACGGTACTTAACAACAACAACAACACAGGTGTCTCAATGCGACCTGGTAGCGCAGTGGGTTGTACATTGGGTTCTAACCACAAGGTCAGCAGTTCAAATTCATCAGCCACTCCATGGAAGAAAGATGAGGTTTTGTGCTCCTCTAAAGATTTATAGCCTCAGAAACCAATTGCACGGTTGCTATGAGTCAGAACCAACTCAATAGCCTGCAGTACAGCAGCACAGGTGGCTGAGAAGAGAGGCCTGATGCTCACTCTACTTCTGGAACAGTCCTACTGTGCACACATGGGCGTTACTATGAGTCTCATCTGTCAGCTTGTTGTACTGTGGTTGCTTGCATGTTGCTGTGCTGCTGGAAGCTATGCCACAGGTATTTTAAACACCAGCAGGGTCACCCATGGTAGACAGGTTTCAGCTGAACTTTCACACTAAGACAGACTAGGAAGAAGAAGAGGAAGACTACTTCGGAATGTTTAGTCACTGGAAACTTTGTGAAGAGCACCAGAATTTGACAGAGTGCATGAAGATGAACCCCTCAGGTTGGAATCCACTCAAAATACGACTGGAGAAGACCTGCCTCCTCAAAGTAGAGTTGACCCTGATGACATGAATGGAGTAAAGCTTTCAAGACATTTGCTGGTAGGGCACAACTCAAAATGAAGAGAAACAGCTGTAAACATCCACTAATAATCGGAACATGGAATGTACAAAATATGAGTCTAGGAAAATTGGAAGGTGTCAAAAATGAAGTGGAACACATAAAGATAGATATCTTAGGCATTAGTGAGTTGAAATGGAATGGTATTGTCCAATTTGAATCTGATAATCACATGGTTTACTATGCCAGGAATGACAAATTGAAGAGAAATGGCATTACATTCATCATCAAAAAGAACATTTCCAGATCTATCTTGCAGTATAATGCTGTCTATGATAGGATAATAACCATATG